TCCTAAAACTTGCTACCCTGCTGCTGCAGAGCGGGCTGGAAGGGGAATGCGGGCGAGCGGGGGTCCCCACAGCCTCCCTCCCCCCCTCCCCACCCACGCCCCGGAGTGGGGGGGGGGACCCGCACCCGGGGATAGATGCCGGGGGGCTGGATTTCCCGGGCGGGGGGGCGACGCCCGTCCTCTTACCCCGCGAATTGCCTCAGGCAGCGCAGGCAGGAGAGGACGGGCCGGGCGATGGGCAGCTCCCCGTAGAAGGCAGCGCAGGCCCGAGCCTCCCGCTCGGCTCCCATGGCCGGGCCCCGGCAGCACCATAGAGCTCGGCCGCCGTCCTGCCGGCTCACCGGCCCCCCCTAGCGCTAGCCCACCCCCCCGGCTCCGGCCCGGTGGGCTCCGGGGGAAGGTGCCGCCGGCCCCGGGCGCTGGGCGAAGCGGAGGAAGGCTGGGGCGGGGGGAGAAGGCGAGAGATGGGCTTTTGGGGAGAGGAACGGGGTGGTTAGGACGCTTGAGGGGGACTGGCATCAACGCCAATTTGGGTGCTTTTTTTGTCGCTTGGCGCGGTTTAAGATGACTTTTAAAGGCCCCTTCCAACCCAACCCACTCCATGATTCTAGGATTTCTGCGTCTTTATTAACCGTAGTTATAACTCCTGACTAACGCATCCCGCCGAGCTTCACCCAGCCGCTGTCGAGAAAGCGCTCCTTGCTGGTTTTGACCTCGAAGGGTTGTTTTTTCCCTGCGTTGTTTCTCACAGCGGCACCGGGGCAAGCGATGCCCGTGAGCGATGCTCGGGGGAGTTGGCGGCGTGGGCAGCCCCGGAGAGTGCGGCTGGGATGGGCCAGCATCTGCGACGGGTGACCGGGAGGATGCCGAAATGTGGGACCCTGGGCGAGCGCTGCACTTTGGGGACGGAGAGGCCCCACCCTGCAGTTTTTGGCAATGTTTGCCAGCAGCATCCGCCTCTGTTCCGCTTTAGAAATCAGCCTGGAAGCCCAAATCCAGCCAGGGGTCCACGTTTGCCCTGACTGCAGCCAATATCAACCAGTGAAACCAGCCCAGGATTTACCCCAGGTAAGGCAGAGCAGTGCAGGAAGACGGTCCCATCCCTCAGACCAGCTCCTCCATTCCCTGAGGACCACGGCCACCCCACTCGGGTGATGAGGGAGTGGGGGGAAGCGCTGCCAAACCAGAGCTCCCAGGGGTGCTGGCACCCAGGCGGGGCAAGGGGGGGGGGGGGGGTGCTCCCATGTTTTAGGGTCTCCAAAACTCCCGTCCCTATCTCCTTGTGCTGCCTGCGGAAGGGAGGGGCAGGGAAGGGAAAGGGGGATTTTTTTCTGGTTTCACCATAGGAAGGATTTTCAAACCCTATAAATTCACTTTTGACAAGTGAACGGCTAAAGCAGATTAACCTTTTTGCTAATCCTCTATAATGGCTTTGGAATCTCCTTAACCAATAAGAAAATGATAAGAGCCTGTTTCTTTTCTTTTTATCTATATCTATATTGTCCTCCCTTGTCTGCATTTTTTTTTCTTTCTTGTTTTATTTTCCTTTCTTTTCTAATATGAAATAGCCCAGCGATCCTATCTTCTGGAGGCTCAGTAAACAGAACATCAGTAATCCTTTTCCTTTATTCCTCTCTGCTAACAGGGTGCAGAGAAGTGTCTACCGATTGGGATTTGATTACCAGCAGCTATCAAAAGTCTCTTTGTAAGATCTGGGTCCTAAATCCCATAATTCTTTGATAAAAGAAGTATTACCAGTCCATTTTCTGAAGTGAAAGGTACGGGAGGAATGAAAGAAAGCAATCAGCGGAGATCCTAATAGGCTAAGTGCATGTGCGGCGGGAAGCCAGGGTCGGGCAGGGGAGGCCAGGGAAAGGCGTCCTTTGTTAAGGATGGGGAAGGAGAATTAATCCGCTTCGGGTGTGTGATTATGACAGCCAAGAGCAGAAAGGGTTGGATCCTGCGCCTGCCCACGGCATGTCCCAGCTCACCTGCCCTACAGCCCCTCTGGACCGGCATGGTGTGGGGAGCAGAACTTCGCCCCACATCCATCTGTGACAGCGTTTGGTACAGGCATAAAAGCCAGGAGCAGTTTGCGGTGATCCCTGGCATTAGTGCATCCCCAGTGCCTCTCTGGAGCGCTGACACCTTGGCAGAGCAGCAGAGAACATGTCCAGATGGGGCGGTTACAAAGGCGTCTTCCTCTCAAACCTACAGCAAATATGTAAAGATTCATAGAGCATGGTTATAATTTATGTTACACCATCGGAATAGCTGACGGAGCGGCAAATAAAGGGATGGAATCAAAAATAGTGGTTTGGTTTTAAGTGAGATTTTACAGAGATTTGAGGGTCACAGGTAGAGCGGCTATGGGGCAACTCTTCCCAGCGCTGGGAGACCAGCAGAGTGAGGAAGGGCAGGCAGAAAGCCAGGCCAAGGATAAAAGAACGGGGACTGAGAAGGGGCTCTTCTGGAGACTGGCTCTCATTTTTGCGCAGTGCCGGAGGGGTTGCTGGGCTGTTCAGCATGAAGTCACGAGGTGCCACGAGGACCTTTGCTGTGCAGTGGTTTCACAGCACTCACCTGTGTGTCTCCTCGGGGTACCATGAGTGGGACTGGTATCTTCTCTCCCCTGCAAAGAAACAACAAGCCGGAGAGCGTTCCCCGTGTGAGCTCCTGAAGCCTTGCTACTCACCTTGGCATAAACTACACCGAGGGCAAGAGAACTTGGGGTTAAACTTTCCAAAGCAACCTAAGCTCAACCACACCTTCTCTGTTTTAATCCCAGCTACTCATTTCAGATGGAAGATGTCCTGTCTCCTCCTGTGGATCGCATCTGCCAGGCCTTGCTGTTTGGCCTCAGGAGGGTCAGTGCCAGGCGTCCCCTCCTGTCCTGAGTCACCGCTCTCGGCCATAGCCTCAACCCAGTCTCTCTTGCTGGGCAGAAGTTGGGAATTGAACTGACAAAGCTCTGGGGAAGCCTGGCTGCCCCAGGCAGCTGTCCTGGCTGCTCTGGGCTCACTGAACTGCCCATTAGCTGTGGCACCGAGACCACACTTCTGCCCGAGCTGCTGCGGGACCTCGCTGCATGCCTGCCTGCCTGCCTGCACACAGAGGCAGCAGGCAGCAGTCCTCCCCTTCCATTCCTGACACCGAGCAGGGTTAGAGCTCAGCCTTACAGGAGGTGGCTACATCCCACTAAGCTAAGCCACAGAGCTGCCGCAAGCTGCCGGTAATCTAATTTATTAAGGGCTTTGAATCCTTACAAAGAGTATGTTGGATACATGCAAAGCATCTGCATTATCACTGTGATTAGGGGAGCAGAGGTGGGGGAAAGGGGAAGGAGGGAAAATACAATTTCTCTGCTTTCAGCAGAAAATAAATCAACTTTCACAGAGAGTTCTGGTGCAGCCAAAGGCTGTGCTATCATTAAAAATGATTTTTATTAAGCTGAACTCTCTCCTCTCTCATATTGTATGATATGACAGCTCTCTTTTGATGGGAAAGCTTTCATTTGGCCAGAGAAAGGGATAATTTGCTTCTTTTAAGGAGTTAATCCTTTGGTCCATTTCCGGGCTGGGAACAGCTATCCTCCCCCTTCCTTGGATCGGAGGCTGCAGCACAATGGAGATCATAACCGCCTCAAATCTACACCCGAGATGGAGAAATCAGATTTCCTTCTCCAGTCATTTTTGTGGGATTAGCTAAATCTTAGATCCACACTAACCCTTCACAAAGCTGCCAAGATTAGTTAGAATTTATTTTATTCACAGGGGGGTTTATGGTTTTCTTTCCAAAGGGATTATATCTCTCTCTCTCTATATATATATTTAGGGTGGCTTCAGTCATAAAGCAGCTAGGTTAGAAGGAGAAAAAGTGCATGTGTGTATAAAATAAAAACTTGGCCATGAGAATGACAGTCACTTGAAACGCCAAGACAAAGCAGCAATTCTGGATGGCTTCACCAGTCTGTTTTAAAAGCTACATAAGCTGTCATTTTCCTGGTGAGACCCCACTCCGGATTTAGCGCACAAAGAGCAAACCCTGCTCCGCCTGAGCTGCCTGATCCTGCGGCCGCTGCTGCCAGCAGAGGATGTCTTCGGAGCCAGCGTCGGATGCCGACACCGGCAGGAGAGGCGTCAAGAAGCCGTGTTCGTTCAGCATCGAGGACATCCTCTCCAGCCCAGCAGAGAAGAACTCCCAGGTCCTGGTCCCGCTGTGCCTCCGGAGCATCTTGGACAGTGCACCCAAGGGCCTGTGTGAGCTGGAGACCATCCCAGCCAGCTCCCTGCAGGAGGAAGAGGAGGAGGAG